GCTACCTCTTCGGCAGAGGAATGTTAGCCAGTCACCTTTGGTGCAATCTGTTGGTAAAAGCTCTGAAGAAGCAGTTGTGTATTTTACAATGAGAGTATTTTTGAGGTGGCTTTGTAAATGTGGATCCCACCTCCTGCCTGCCTTCCTCCATAGAAGAGGAGCTTCGTCTCAAGTAGCACTGTGGATCTAGAAGGATCTGACCTCTGGAGCAAGCTACGTTTTCTGTCTTTATGGGGTGAGCAATGGTGGAAGGGCACATGGAGCACTTGCCTCAGCTGACCTGGCGACTGCAGGTTTCCAAGCTTCTCTGGACAGGGGCACACAGTTACAATTGGGCAGAGAAGCCACACTCTGTCTCAAAGAGTACTGGTTTTCACATCATCGTAACTTCATAGTTACAGGTGGACCAGATGTACAGGGGACCAAAGACTGGAGGAATTTTTGAGTAAGTTAATTTTTCTATAGTGTTCCTTCTAACAGTTTTTTTTTTTCCTCAACTTTAGAATTGGGCTATATAAAATGAGAGTTTTCATACATGACAGCTGAAAACCAATGTTAAATACGTACAGTATTCTTGTGTAGACAAGGTCTGGGAGTCTCCTGTGCTACTATTTTCACTTGGTATTATCTCTTTTCATTTATTTTTTGTTTTCTTTAAAGAGCTTTCACTCTATAGTGCTGCCATTTACCTGAACAATTCACCAGCTAATAAGAGAGAGGTTGAGCTGTGCGGAGGGGAAGGGACTAAGGAGGCACCTTAGGCACCTCCACCCCGCTTGTCCTGCGCCTGCGGCACTGTGTGAGCTGTTGGCCATGTGGTGTGGTTGTAGTCACCTCGCTTTCCCCATTTTATGGGTAGATCTGGCCCTTTAGAGGTCAGTCGCATTCAAATTTGCCATTTCACGGTATGAACACAACCCTGCCTGCTCATGTTCCACTCTGTCTCTGGGAACTTGCCCCCTTTTTTTCCTGCTTTCCTTTAGATGAACTTTGACTTCATCATGAGTCTTATTTTTCCAAACTCTATGCCGTGTTCTTGAGCTGTTCTTGGAGATCTGATTTCTTTATTGTTCTGCTTTTTAATTAGGTGCAAATGCAACACTTAAGCTAAAAATTAATAGTAAAGAAGATTTGCTGTGTTGCTAGTTTTAAACCTCGTATTCCTATTAATACAAGGGTTGAACATAGGTCGTATGGCTGTATCAGCCATGCACATGTTCTGGCGTTCCAAATCCCAGAGTCTGTGTGAGGGCAGAGCGCAGGCTGCTCCAGGAGGGACCTGGGGCCTGGGGCAGGCATGGGTGGGCCACCCAGACCTCCGGGGCCGTGGGAGTTCACAAGAGGTTAAAGGTTCCCCAAGCGCCAGAGGCACGGGGGGCTTCTCTGCTTCTCCCGTCTTCCCCCAAAACTTCCAGGGCTGGTTCCGGACTTGAGAGCAGTGAACTTTCTGGGAGGGGTACAGAGGGGCTGTCAAACAGTAGAACTTTCTACTCCCTTGAAGCCAAAGGAATTTGCAAGCCTTGTTCACATAAACTCACTTTAATAGTTTTCTGATGTAGTTCTGGAGCATGAAAATGTCTTCATGCTAATGACCTAAGACAATATGAGTATGTTTAGAAAAATACCTTGAATTTTGAAGGTGTTCTTAATAGATGTACATAGCATTTCTACCATATGTTCTGAGTTACTTCTCCTTGCAACCTCACAGTTAATTATTGCTTGGTTCCTAAGGCTTTAATTTACAAGCTGAAAGGAAGACTATTAAAAAATCAACTAAAAAATATTTATAGAAAAAAGATGTCTATGGCTTTATGCCTTTTTATCTACTGAAACAATGGATAATGCTTCATCAGCAATTTTATCTGTGAGGGTTTCATTTCATGGGCATGGATTTAGTCCTCGCAAATGCCTATTTGGGCTCACTGGGCATAAAATCAAAATTTCAGCTTTTAACTGAAGAACTGCAAGTTTGCAGCTGTTCCAGCTTCTTAGTGTCAAAGCACAGACGTGTCCTTGCCTAGGGGATAATAGCAAACCAGATTACTACATGTATGATGCACTTAATAAAAAAGAAAGTTGTGAGATGAGGAGTGATTTTGAGCTTCTAACATCTGTCCTAACGAAAAACGTTCTTGTATAAGGCCGAAAATGGATTGCAGCACTGCATATTGTTAGAGCATTGTTGCTAGAAACTGTATTATCTGTGTGAGCTTGCAGTCATTTTTATGGTAAATACTTTAAAAGATACATAATGTAATAATATAAAATATTTTAAAGCATTTTTGTTGTATTCAGCAAAAAACTAGGGACAAAATCAGCCGTTTTGGTTTTGCTAGGTAGCTTGACTCCGGAATTCTCCCCTTGCGTGAGGCTAATGGCATAGGTGGGTGTTCAGGCTCTGAAGGATTCCCAATTTGTCCAGTCTGGCCTGTGAAGCCAGCAAGTCTAGAAACGGTACTGTGGAAAAGCCAAGCACTTTACTCTTACCACATGTAGGTGCTTAGCATGTCAGTGGAATGGCAGAGTGATTATTCTAGTGAATGCTGAGGAGTTACCTCACAGTGGCAGGTTAATGGTACCATTTTTCCAGCAAGTAGAGAGAAGCTGTGTTCTAGGAAATGTCTTGAAAGCTCTGCTGGGGTGAGCAGCCCAGAGGGAAGGGTGGAAGGGCAGGATACCGCGAATCCTGGAGTGCTCGTCGTAGTGCAGGGAATGGGGAGAAGAAAAACTGGGAGCAGCTGTACTTCAAATTATCCTTAACTTCTGAAGTTGCACACCGTTCAGATGGCACACGGTGCTCTCGGTGACTTCTGCACAAAGACAGGCAGGCGTACGCCCATTGCCAGGTTCTGTTAAAATCATTGCTCGCATGCTAGTTCGTAGATCAGATGCAGAGAAAATGGGTTTCTTGAGAGAAGACTCTTTTTCCAGTCTTCTCCAGTACTTTTCCCATGCTGGGTTCCTGTTGTCGTGCTCTTCGTTCCACAAGGTCTCTTCTGGGCTTGGCCACCTGGGGCGAGCAGGCTGCAGTGGCACTGTGCAGTATGACCCGGTGCCAAAGCTTTCTGAACATGGCTGCACTTTTCCCGTAGTACGTACCGTGTCTTTTTGATGGGAGTTATGTCCACGTTCTTACACACTAATTACAGAGCTTCTCAGTCGAGTAGCATTAACGTTAGAAAAACATCTTCTTGAGCTTCTTGCCTGCTTTTGTTTGTAAAAGGTTTCAGAGGAATCTTTTTATGGCGTGGAAGTTAAAGCCAGGTGATGCTGATCCTAAAATGCTAGTTTACTTCCCAGTGAGTCAGAATTGTGTGACTTTCGAACATGGGAAGGAGTGACCAATAGCTATCATCATTTCTAGGGGGGAAGAGAATAATTTCTGTAGGATTTGCCAAATGCACTAAAGGTTGTTTTTTTCCTGCAAGCTGATATAAAAGGGTGTACGGATTCAGGAAATCAAGAACTGTAATGACAACTGTAAAGCCTTTGACACGGTCCCCCACAACATCCTTCTCCCCAAATTGGAGAGCCATGGATTTGATGGGTGGACTGTTCGGTGGATAAGGAATTGGTTGGATGGTGACAGAGGGTGACGGAGCCCTGGAACAGGCTGCCGAGGGAGGTTGTGGAGTCTCCTTCTCTGGAGATATTCAAGACCCGCCTGGACAAGGTCCTGTGCAGCCTGCTCTAGGTGACCCTGCT